TGCAGCTCTGCATCACTTCAGACATTCCAGTTTCCCACCGAAGACACTGTTTTCCTTCCAAAACTGTTTTCCAGCCTGTATGAATTTGCTCTGGTGAGTTGTACAGTCATAACTCAACTTTTGCCACTTGCACAGACCCCCAGTTGGCTGGGAAGCTCCAGCTCCAGGGAGAATCACAGCTGATCAACAAAAACACCAGTTTTACTGGGAGAAGGAAATCTCCCTCTTTCTTTCAGGCAAGTAAAAAGAAGTGAGAGGCCAACTCCCAGGGACTAAGACATGGAAGGATTTATCTGTCCACTAACCTTCATTCCAGTAACTTGCTGTTTTATGACCTAAAATTATTTATGATTCCTTTCAACTAATGACCCTTTGTGCAACCAGACCTGAAGATTGTGAGTATGAAAAGCCTGAGCCAGTAAAGCCCTTCCACACCTGCCAAACCTTCCCAGCTGCAGCTGCCTGATGGACACCTGGACCTGCTCCCTAAAATCCTGTGTCACATCATTTGGGTGAGTGCAGAAGCAGCCACATGCAGCCTGGGAGCAGGCTCTGCAAACACGTGTTGGGTTTCATCAGTCCTGGCAAGGGTCCAAGCAGGGAAGCTATCCCATGTGATTTATGCAATGGGGAGCAGATTGTACACCTCCAGCAGCACTTGTTTACTCACTGCACTCCCAGCTCCTACTCAGAGCTAACAGGGGCCCTTCCAGATCCATCTTCTGTGCTCAGCAACATCCTGTGCCACAGTGGAAGCTGGGAGAATCCCACTGGGGAGGGGTTTGGGAGGCTTTGCTGAGCTCCCAGGAGCTGGGAGCAAGTGTGCCAGCCATCCCAGGACAGCTGCCTTGCAGAGCACGTGGTTTAGCTGGCAAAGGGAGGGGAAACATGAGCAGGAGGATGTCACACCTGTGTTGGTGGCAAGGACAACGCTGGCCTGGCTGAGGGCTGCAGCCATGGCAGCCTCTTCTCTCTCCTTCAGCTCCTTCCTCAGGGTCTTGATCTCTCCCAGAAAATGGCTGCGCTCTCCCTTGTCTTGGGCCTTTTTGGTTTTGGCCTAGAAAAGAGAAAAATTTGGATAGAGCCAACTGCTGCTACTCAGTTCTGACCGTGTCTGTGATCAGCCAAAACATCTGGGCATGGAGCAGGGACGAATGTCTGGGAAGAGGGGTTTTGTTCCTCTGCTGGGGAGGGACTGGGATGTCCTAGCTTGTTCTGAGGAAGCAGAGCCCTTCTGGAAGCAGGAGGGCTCCCCAAGCCCCAGCAGCAGCTCTGCCACCTCAAACTGGCCTCTCTGAGCTGCTGGAAAGGATCCAGAGCAGCATCCAGACAGGCCCAGGGCTTTTTTTAGCAGGTATTAAATGTATCTACCACCCCAACCCACCAGCAATGGGCACCAGCACTGCCAGAGCAGCAGCCATGGGACCACAGCTCAGCTACAGCTCACTGAGCAAACCCAGATGGAAATTGGGATTATTTCCCTGGAGGTAAGGCTGATGACTTGGGAAGGATGCAGACAGAAGCTCTTCTAGGCAGCCAAAAGAGTAAGACAGGCTGGTTCCTATAGTCATGCCATGGATGGATGGATGCATTTTCCAGGGTCTAACATGGATCAGCTCAGGCCCCTGCTTTGGCTGAATTCATGGGTATTTAAAACTGTGAATCCTCCATGTGTCTGTCAGGTGTCATCAAAATGGGTTCAGGAATTCCAGGTGTGGGATGACAGGCCCTAAGGATGAGGTCAGTCTGGATGTCACCCATTCCTAATTAGGGATTAGGAGTATCAACTCTAATCATCCCCACCTGCCTCACATGAGCTCTCTCATCCCCTCATTGGTCTGGGAGCCTGTTTAAGGCCAGCTCATGGTGTGAGCCTGGTTTCTTTCCTGCATTCCCTGCCTCATCCTCCTGGACTGCTCCCTGACCCTGCTCAGCATCCCTGGAGCTGGACTGGCCCTGGATCTGTGCTACATTTCTTTCTCAGGTACTGTGGGGCTGAAACCTTGCTGGGGCAAGGAGTATCCAGAAGCTGAGGTCCTGAGAATCTCAAAGCCAGGTGAGGGAAGGAAGCACAAAGGAGTAGGAAATGCCTCAAGGTTTTCTTTTCTTTTCTGTTATTGCTCCTTCTGTGGGCTGGGGAGAAGGGAAGGAGAGAGGAGTCAAAACATGGAGCAATTGCTCCAGGGAAAAGTAGGGAATGTGGCAGTGGAGAAACAGAGGCAGGAGGAAGAAAAGATGGGTCAGGACCTTGGAGATGAGCTCTCTGCAGCCAAGGGCAGCTTCTGTGACACACTCCTCCCAAGGAGATGAAAATGAAAACTAATCACCAGTCAGAAAGATGGAAAATAAATTAAGAAGCAAAAAAAAAAAAAGGCTTTTGGACAGTGCTGCCACCAGAAAAGGGAAAGAAAATAACCTAATTAGCATCAAATCCTCACCCCAAGTACCAGAGCTACGTTGTAAGGGAATGTTAGGAAAATTAGGGTGAGAAGGAAGAAATTAAGGATGCATTTTAAAATGTGCTCTGCTTTCTACTTGAAGTGGCTGAGAGTGGGAGGGAGTATCAGGACAGGCAGACAGCTTGTTAGGAAGTGAATTAATGATGGGAATGTTTCCCTGCTAAAGAGGAGGGCATGGATCAGGGCAGACAGGTGATGTGAGGGGCAGCAGCTCCCCACACAGCAGCAGGGACTGGAATTTTCCCACTTCCATGAGGGATTCATGGAAGGAAGTTCTGTCCTCCAGCACATGAAGATAAGAGAATCTCAAAACGGTTTGGGTTAGAAGAGACCTTATGGATCATCTCCTAAGGGCAGGGACACCTTCCACTAGCCCAGGCTGCTCCAAACCCTGTCTAACCTGGCCCTGGACACTCCCAGGGATGGGGCAGCCATAGTTTCTCTGAGACATCCATTCCAGGGCCTCCCCACCCTCACAGGGAAGAGCTTCCCCCCGGGGCAGCCATAGCTTCTTTGAGACATCCATTCCAGGGCCTCCCCACCCTCACAGGGAAGAGCTTCCCCCTGATATCTGCCCTTCTCATGGGATCACTCCGGGCTGCACACGCTGCCCCCGCGCAGGGCCCGTACCCACGCGTGGTCGATGTCCCTCCTGATGTCAGCCACGATGTGGGCGTTGTCCCCGCGGGCCAGCACGGCGTCCAGGGAGTGCTGCTGGATGGGCTGGAGCAGGCGGGCGGGGTGGCCCAGCCGCAGCAGCCGCGCCCTGCAGCCGGCCAGCCGCTCCACCAGGTTATCCACGGCCACGTTGGACGGGGCACAGCACAGCACCTGCGGGGACAAACTCCTTGGCACCTCTGAGGGCACCCACAGGCTGCAGCAGGGGGTGTCCGAGCAGACAGAGGGAGAGCTTCTGTCGGGAATAAAGCGCTGGCATCACCACAGGTAATGCCCTCCTTGCTTTGCAGCACTTCTGTAGGGTCCCCAGTGAACCCCAAACCTGAGCTCTGCCAGCACCTCCCTGGAGCTGGTGGGGAAGTCCCTGGTCCCTGCAAGCCAAGCCAGGCTCTGGATTAGCACAGATCCAACAGGAGCTGCTCTGGGTGCCACAAAGCCCAGGAGTGTGCAAAATAATCACAGAAACCTGGAATGGTTTGGGTGGGACCTTAAAGCCCATCCAGTACACCCCTGCCAGGGGCAGGGACACCTTTCTCTAGGCCAGGCTGCTCCAAGCCCCATCCAGCCTGGCACTGGACACTTCCAGGGATGGGGCAACCACAGCTTCTCTGAGCAGCCTGTGCCAGGGCCCTACCACCCTCCCAGGGAAGGATTTCTTCCCAATATCCAACCTAAATTTCCCCTCTTCCCATTTGAAGCCATTTCCCCTTGTGGTACCACCCCAGTTCCTGATGAAGAATCCCTGTAAAGCTTCCCCGTAGCCCACTCCCATGACTGCAAGGCTGCTCTGAGGCCTTCACACAAGGAGAGGTGCTCACTGGTGGCCACCTGAGGTGGTCCCTGTCACCAGAGCCCTGGCAGTGAGCCTCACCTTCAGGCCCTGCTGCACAGCCTGCAGGATGATCTCCACCAGGGTCGTGGTTTTCCCAGTGCCTGGAGGCCCGTGGATGATGGCCAGCTCCCTCTGAGCCAGGGAGAAGGACACAGCTTCCCTCTGAGACTCATCCAGGGAGGCATTGAAGAACTCCAGAGGCTCTGGGGAGACAGCAGGAGAGTCACTGGTACCTCAGCCCCAGCTGGGAAGAGGCTGAGAAGCACAAATCCAGAAATACATGGCGCTCTCTGCAGCCAGCCCAAACCCATTTGATAATGAGGAAAACCTTGGGAAGAAAGCCCTGAGGGGGCTGGAAGACCCCAGAAGGTAAAAATAAGCTTTTTATGCTTCCAAAACAAACAGCCTCCCTCCCCATCCTGCACCCATGCTTCCCCATCCCCTCCCCAGCCCTGATACTTGGCCTTTGACCAGTCAGTGGTGGAATTCCCAGAATTTAAGAGGCATTTAGCTTCCCCAGCATCAAACAGGTAGGTTTTCCTGGCTCTGGAGGGAGCTCTGGGATTGTTTTGCAGGAGAACCAGCATCTTTAGTGAAATCTTCAGTGAAAATTGGGGAGGAAGTAGCAGATCTGGCAAATAAATCCCTGCCAGTGAGCAAACCCAGTGCAGCAACAGTGAAAAATCAGAAAAACCTACAGAGGCTGTGAGCAGAACAGAGCAGCCCTGTGGTGGTCAGCCAAGACTGGGTATGAAGGCAGGAAAAGATACAAAGAACAATTTAAATGATAAAACTAAAATTCATTTCTGCTTTAATAAGGGAGGAAAAAAGAGAATAGAATATGCAAATCACATTAGAAGAGAATTGGTTTCACTGCAGAGACTGAATTCTCTAAAGCTGCTTTTTAACCTCCCAGATTGATCTCATTTAGGCCCAAATTTATTCTCATCCCCCCCCCCCTTAATCCTAATGCTAATCTCCTTGTTCATTATGGGAGTTAATTACAGCAGGGATGATGACTCATTACACCGAGGTTTCCCGAAAATAACGTTCCCACAAAAGCTTATATAAGACACATCTCTGGGCATCCTTCCCTGCTGGGCATCATGTGCTTCATCCTTCCCTTTGCATTAAGGGCTGGATTAAAAACACGGGGCTTTCTTCTGGTTTTAGGCAGGTGATCCTGTGTGTGGCTTCTGAAGCAGCACCACCAAAGGAGGTAAAACAAAAGATACTCATTGAGAAGGCGATGGTGAAGAGAGAAATGGCGCTGGGGGTGCTTTTCGCTGTCACTCTGCCTCTTGGTTCATATGTAAATTTTGGGTGAGTGTGTTAATGACTAAGACAAAACCAGAAGCATCCCATGGGCTGGGGAAAAAAGCAGGAATAGCTTCAAACCTGAGAGGCATTTCCCACAGTGAGGAACAGCTGGGATGTGGGAGTCATTGATGCTTCCTTGCTCAAGGATGAGCAGAGGAGCTTCTCCAGGCCTGTGCCCACCCTCATCCCTGCCAACCACAGGCTGCCAGGAGCTGCTGTGTGGGAAGGCTGGCACTGTGCCTCTCCTGGGCTGGCCACGCTGCTGGGGAGGAGGGAAGAGCCTCTAATGGGATGCTGTGGTTCCTCCAAACTTCTCCCTGCAGCAGCTGGGCTCCAGGTATCCTCAGCTGAAGAAATCCCTGGAATGTGTCTCACTGGTGGCCAGGTAATTGTGCCCTGATGCACACCTCCATTTATCAGAGTTGAAAACCAAATTTCCTTGGCCATCCAGATCAGTGTCCCAACATTCCCAGGGACTGAGATGCTTTTCTGCACAGTTCCAGCAGCTCTGCTGAGGCAGTGGGCTGGGGGAAATGACATCCAGGCCCAGGAAAGGAGTCTCTGAACCAAAAATGGATGGAAACAGCCCTTCCTGGGAGGAAGAGCCCAGGTTTTCCAGAACTGGAAGCCCTTTTCAAAGTATATTTCTGACCAAGAGCAATTCAGATCCCCAATCCCAGCAGCTCCTCCCTGGTACAACCTCACTGCAGCCAACGCTGCTGGACAAAATCCAGCTGGGTACATCAGCCTGGATCAGAACTTCCCCTGTTCTCCAGAGGAAATATCTGGCAGCTGAGTTGTCTGGACTGCTTAGTCTTCCCCAGGAATCTCAGAGGCCTCTCCATGGCCCCTGTGATGACAAGAGGCGTCACAGGGCAGAGGGATGGAGGAGCATTTCAGGTTATTTTTGCAAGTGACTTGTGCCAAAAAGCTAAGAAAGTCTTGCTGGAAATCCCTGGTGCTTCCCCAGTGCTCTGCTGCCAGCTTGGCTTTTTCTGGGGACATTCCTGCCTTTTCACCAGGATTGCTTCTTTCCCTTTACAAATCTTTTGACAGCCATAGGCAGAGTTGGACACAAGCCAGGCCTTCTGGAGCCAGGAACAAAAAGGGGCATTCCTGACTTTCTCCAGCCCAGCAGCACAGGAGAGAGCTGGCAGCTATCAGTGACCTGCACAGGTACAGCAGAACCTGCTTTCCAAAGGGAAAAGGGACATGTCCCTCTTGGATGGCCAGGAGAACAGCAAGCAGAGCAATGCTGGCCTCTGCTGGCAAGAAAAGCCTCTCCACTCCCCCCATTCCCAAAATGTAGGGGTGCAGGGATCCCACAGGGATGCTGGGAGCAGGGGAGAATTGTTTGGAGGAGATTTCAGGTGTGGAAGATCCAGCAGGGCCACAGGTGCAGATCAAAGTGGAAGGGAGACAAGGAGGGCATTTTTGATGGGAGACCACCTGGATTCTGCTTCCCAGGGAGTCTGATAAGGGCAAAATTCCTGCTCAGTTCAGAGTCTGCCCTTTCTGGAAAAATTTTTCTCCCCCTTGGAGCCTTCCTGGAGGCAGCAAGGTGAGGTGTGGAGGTGTTTTGTGCCAGTCCCAATCTTTGCTGCAGATCCCAGCTACCCACTGGAGATCTCTTCCTCTCCTTTTGGCTATTCCTTAGGCTATTCTTTCCACAGCCTGTCTCATGTTTTTGTCTTATGCCAAGGGTATTTATTGTTGCATATTTAAGTGTTTTGAAAGGATCTAGGCTCTGATGTGTTGTGTTGGGCTGCTGATGTCTGGTAATTAATTACTGAAATGCACAGCGGCGTCACAACCCACCTACAAGATTCCCTGATTGAAAAATTAGGATTCTCATCTTGTCCCCCACAAAAAAAAAGAAAAGAAAAAGAAAAAAAAATCAGATTCAGGCTTCTGCTGCTGCACATTGCACCTGCTGGGTGGATTTTGCCCTGTCTCCCAGCTGTGGCTCCCTGGTTTCTGAGGGAAGCGAGCTCGCCTCACGGTGTTGACACAGACGTGTGTCTAGACAGCCAATTTCAGGAGCTGTCCAGGGCTTATTGACTCAGCCTGCTGCTGATGGGTTTGTTTGAAACCAGGTAATGAATGGGATGAGACAGATCCCCAAAGAAACCAGGCTAATGGGTGCTTGGTCATGGAAGTAGAGGCTGTGACATGGAAAAGCTGCCTGAAGTTGGTCTGGCAGAGGCCTTCAGCACAGGGCAGGCTTATTCCAAGTTATTAGCCCTTAATTCCTGGCTGGCACAACATCTCTCTAGGTGGGCAGAAAGCAGCTCTGAAGGGAGGAGGTAACTGCAAGGCCTTTGAGTCCATATTGCACCTCCTCTGTCTGTCTAACGTGCCTCCATCTATCCATCAATATTCCCAGTGCTGAGCAGATGGAAAATTCATCTCTGCCCAGCCTGGCACAGCTGAGTGATGGGGTAAAAAGGAGCTTTCCTTCATTAGAGGCAGTTCTGCTCCCTCAGGGGTAAAAGCATTGTTGAGGGAAGTTGATTGATTAAAATTTAATTCTTTTATTTAATGTTAAAACCTTGAGTGCACCAAGGTCCCTGGGCAGCCAAAGGGCTAAAAGGTTTGACTCAGACTGGGATCAGTGCTTAGAGAAATGGGGACAGGACTCATTAACACCCATTTTTTGTCCCTAGCACATCCTATCAGGATGGAGGGCTGGAGGGGATGGGAGAGAGGCAAACCATGGTGGGCAGCCAAATCCAGGACTCCAAGGAAGACAAACAGTGCAGGGAGCTGTGGAGGGGAGGAAAAGGGGCAGAACCCTGGCAGGGATGGATGGCACGAGGGGGGAGAGCAGCCCTGAGCTCTGTACATGGCTTAGACACAGCCCACCCTCAGCCCTCACTCCCTGATTTTTGCACCCTTCCCTTCTGTCAAGGGATAATATCCATTAGCAGGTGTTGATATCTGACACAGCTGCTGATCAGAGGCTTTGCTCTCCCCAAAAGGTGAAGCTGTGTAATTTAATCTTTGTTTCTTCCAAAGAAGCACAGCAGAGTAGATACTACTTATATCCAAGATTTTGTCCAGGCTCTCTCCATGAGGAAAGTGTGCCCAGCATAAACAATCCTACCAGTTGCAGCACCACTGATGACTCGCATTGAACACTGGGGTCTTTTCTGGAGCATGTGTGGGTAAAAACAGGGATCAGAGTTATCTGTGCTCTCGTGGGCAATTCCCAAGGATGCCCATCAAGCCTGACAAAAAAAGGATCCTTACTTGTTTCAGGGAACGCCCTGGGAGCAGAGGCAAAGAAGAGGACGTCGATCAGGTCGGAGGCTGGGCCACCCCGGTACTGCTTGAGTGCAGTTAGAGCTCTGCCAAAGAAGGGAAGATCCAGGTTACAGGCACAGCAGGAGTTCTCTGGAGACTCCCAAGTGCCCAGAGACAAGCTGTGAGTAAGGACTGAACTATTCCAAAGCTGAACAATGCTACACCACAAGACTATTCCCACACAATTCCTGCATCTCCCAACCCTTGCACACACATCCTTGTGCTGGTCAGGCTTCCACTTCCCATTGTCCCTGTTTGGTACAGCCAAATGTGCTTTTTTGGGATGTTTATCTAGCAAGGAGCTGTTCATTCCTCCTGCCAGGATGGAAAAGGCCCCAGAGAGAACCCAGAGTATTCCAGAGGCAATGCAATGGGACCAAACCACAGCCTGGAGGGGGAAAGGGAAGAGCAGGACCAGCCAGCAGGTGGGTAAACTGAGGCTGTTGTGAGGCTCTAGAATGACAAATCCAAACTGGGAAGGGACTGGGAAGAGCTTTTCCAGGCTAAACTTGTCACTCCTCATCCCGCTGGGCAGAGTGAGCCGGGGTGAGCCCTCACCTTTTGAGCCTGTTGTAGGTGACATCGTTGGCCAGCTTGAGCAGGCGGAAGGAGCGCTCGTGGTCCACGGCCAGCTCCCCATCCCGGGGCTCCTCCAGGGCCACTGTCACTGCCTTGGGGGTGACACGTGTCACCACGCCCGTGCACAGCGGGTCCCCCTGCCCAGCCGACTCATAGAGCCCCACGATGTCCCCTGCAGAGGATGGAAGGGAGAGAGTGAGGTGGGGCAAATGTGTCACCGTGCAGGGAAGCTGTGGCTGCCCCATCACTGGAAGTGTCCAATGCCAGGCTGGATGGGGCTTGGAGCACCCTGGGCTAGGGGAAGGTGTCCCTGCCCATGGCTGAGGGTGGGACTGGATGGACTTTGAGGTCCTTTCCAACCCAAACCATTCTAGGCTGTGTGATCTCTTTCTTTGGAAAGACAGGAGTGTCACTGACCAGGCCCAAAGCTGTTGGAGGGCAGCTCGGTGTCCGAGTCCCGCTTCCTGGGCTGGAATGTCACGAGGAGACGCCCGTAGAGGCCGGTTCTCTGGCTGCTGACCTGGAGCTTGAGCAAGCAGACACCTCTCCGCTGCAACTCCTTCAGGGAGACGCTCTCCTGCCATGCCCTGGGAACCACACACAGGTGGGAACACCACGGGGTGAGGCTGAGGGGCACAGCTCCAGGGGACAGAGCAGAATGACCTTATCCTGGCTGCTGGCACCTCCATCCTCCTGCCTGGGTACGTGTCTGTACCCCTCATCTGAGAGGATGACTCGGTCCTGTGGGGGCCAGCCCAGCAGGATTCCCCATGGATCAGAGCCCTGTGGGGTGGGGTTCCTATCGGGGTGGGCTGCTTACAACAGGGGCACTGCAGCAGCGTTCCCACCAGGAACCAGGAGGGTCTCCTAGAGAAAACAGAGGGTCCCAGGGGAGGATCCCTCAGGGTTTCCATAGGAGACAGCGGGTCCCAGGGGGGGGTCCCTCAGTGTTCCCCAGGGCTGACAGCGCTCCCGCGCCCCCCCAGCCGCACGTGTCCCCGGCTGTGGCCGCCCCGTAACCCCCCGGCGGCCGGTGCCGTGTCCCCGGCGGCCGCTGCCGGTGCCTCGTGTGCCGCACCTGCTCTGGGCCAGCTCGGCCTCCCGCTCGTCCCGCAGCAGCCCCAGGTGCCGCTCCGCCGCCTCGGCCGCCATGGCCCCGCGCAGGCCCCGCCCCTCGGCCGCGCAGGCCCCGCCCCCTCCGCGCGCCAGGCCCCGCCCCCGCGGTTCCGCGTCCGGCGCGAGGTCACCGCGATGGCGGCGGCGCGAGCGCGGCGGGCGGGAGGTGAGCGGGGACCGGGAACGGGAAACAGGGACAGAAAACAGGGACAGGAACAGTCTCTGCCCCTGCCGCTGGGAGGGAAAGCTAGGGGGAAAGAAGGAGCTCTGCCTGCTGCTGGGAGGTGGGGAAGAAGGAAAAGGAAGGAGCTCTGATTGCTGCTGGAAAGGAGGAATGGATGGATGGAGGGATGGACTGGGCTATTGCTGCTGCTGGGGGGAAGGGAAGGGAGGAATGAAGGAGGAAAGGAAAGAAGGAAAGGAAAATGCTCTGGCTGCTGCTGGGATGGAGGCGAGGAAGGAGCTCTGCCTGCTGCGGCTGGGAAGGAAGGAAAGAAAGGCAGGAGGAAGGTGCTCTGCCAGCTGCTGGGAGGAAAGGAGGGATGGAATGGAGGGATGGAAGGGCTGTGCTCTGCCAGCTGCTGGATGGAAGGAGGCTGGCAGTAGTCAGGGTCCCCACTGCTGCCTCCTGGCCCCTCGGTGTCCCTGCCCCGCACCTGCAGGATGAGCCCTGGAGCTCTTCCCAGAGGTGGAAGGGATCCGGGTCTTTCCAGCATCAGCCTCGGAGCATCCCAAAAGTCAGGGAGTGATAACAGAAAGGAGAATGAGCTTTACACAGTCCTTTCCACCTTGGCATAAACCCTTCAGCAAAATCCAGTGGATAGGAGGGAACAGAGACTTTATCAATCTCCTTCCCGGGCTGGGAAGGGGCTGCTCAGGGAGGTGGTGGAGTTCCCATCCCTGGAGGTTCCCAGGAATGCCTGGATGTGGCACTCAGTGCTCTGAGCTGGGTGACAACACGGTGACCAGTCACAGGTTGGACTCGATGGTCTCGGAGGACTTTTCCAGCCTGAATGATTCTGGAATTCTGCAAAAGCCCAGCAGCTGCTGCCTGTGTTTAATTCTCTTTTTCTCCCTTTCAGCCTCGCTGCTTTCGGCTGCGGTCCGGCACCGGAGTTCCCAGAGCTCATCCCCACAGCCAGGGTAATGTCACACATCCGTCACTTCACTTTGCCTCTTCCCCCTGGAATGCTGGCCTGCTTCCAGGCTGGGAGAGCAGCTGGCTTTCCTCTGAGAAGGAAACTTGGCTGCCCCTTGGTCACTCCTCAGCGTTTTGGGCTCTGCCTGCCTTCAGTCACCTTTCCCAGAAGGATGCTTCCCTTCATTTTTTGGGGGTCTTTTTGTCCCATCCCTGGAAATGTTCAAGGCCTGGTTGAACAGGACTTGGAACAACCTGGTCTGGTATAAATTGTCCCTGCCTTGGGTTGTGACTGGATGAGCTTTACCATCCCTTCCAAGGCAAACCATTCAGGAATCCTGTGACCCCTCCTCCAGTGGCACCTTCAGGCTTTGCTTTTTCCAGCCCTTTGGGACCTCTTGCTGTGCCTTTATTCCATTCCCTGTGCCGGGATCTCCTGCAGGACTGAGGAGCTGCTGCTGCCTGTGACCAGGAGGGGACACTGCAGGAGCAGAGAGTTCCTGCCAGGGAGGATGGCAGGATGTACTGTTCCCTCTTCCTGCTCATCCTCAAGGATCAGAGATCCTTGGATCTCTGCCTGGGTGATGCAGCACCCAGAATCCTCACCAAACCCCGGGAGGCCTCGGTGCCTGTGGTTGTGTACTCACAGGTGCTTGCAGTTCCTCTTGAATTAAAGCCCTTTGGGATGTTTGGCTCGGGGTTACAGAGTAAATCAAGCATTGCAAAGGATTTTGAGTAAATCAAGAGTAAATCAAGCATTGCAAAGGATTTTGAGTAAATCAAGAGTAAATCAAGCATTGCAAAGGATTTTGAGTCCGTTTTGCTTTTCTCCACTACGTCTCATGTTTATTCCTGGATGTTTTATGCATTTGGTGCATCCTGTGTTGCTTAGGCCAAGTGTGGATTTCTGCATGCAGGAAAGCCTGAACTGCCCACTGCTGAGGGGAATGGTATTTGCTTTTTATTTTGGGGTGGTGTTTACAAAATCTGAATTTTCAGATTTCAGAAACCATGACCTTTCATGTTCACCTCATGGAGTTTTCCTTCCTCTTTGTATCTAAGATTGCTTTTGTGCTACTGTAGATTCTTGCCTAATTGCTAACTGTAATCTGATGCCTTTTGGTGGGGTGTTTGTGGGTAACATCCAGTTCTACTCCATCTCCTTTTTCCTTCGTTCTTCTCCCTGTTTTCCATCTCTTGGCACTATCTGTTTGCTGCAGTGAATTTTACCTTGTCCTTCACAGACTTGTTGCCAAAACTTCCCTGACTTCGCCCCCATGGCCTGAGGTGAAACTTCCAGATCCAGTGGAAGAAGCCAAATATCATGCAGGTAAAGGTCTCAAATCTGGTCTTCCAGCACTGCCTCGAGGCCTGATTGAGCATAAATGTCTTCAGCTGGACGAGTTTGTGTTATTCACTTCTTTTTTTTTTTTTTATAAATTTCATTTCTCACGTGTTTCAGTGTCGCTGGAATTGTGCTCCAGCTGCTCTCCAGGTTTGGGAGATTTGAGTACCATGTGATTTCTCCTTAGTTCAGGGCAGCTTGTCACGCTCCCAGAGGAACCTTGCCTGATACAAAACACTGTATTAAAAAAATTAAAGCATGAGAGAAGCATTGTGGGCAGGAGAAACGAGTTATTTTCCATTCACTGGCTAAATCAAAGCCAGTAGGAGCAGTTGGATGGTGGGCACACGGAGAGCTGGTGTATTTTGGTACATGAGACAGAACATCCAGGCAGCAGGAGCAGTTGGATGGTGGGCACAGGACAGACCTGCAGAGGTGGGACACAGCGTGACAGAACACTGGGGGTCGTGTCCCTGTGCCCTCAGCTTGTCAGGACTGCTGGGTGAGAGGAAACAGCCTCAAGCTGTGCCAGGGAAGAGGCAAGTTGGACATCAGGAGGAATTTCTTTCCTGGAAAGGGCTGTCAGGCACTGGGAGGGGCTGCCCAGGAAGGTTTGGAGTCCCCATCCATGGGGGTGTCCAAGGAATGACCAGACGTGGCACTCAGTGCTCTGGGCTGGGTGACGAGGTTGACGAGAGGAGCTGAGCCCACCTTCCTACAGCTGGAGTGTGTCCCTGACTGAGGGTGTGCTTGGGAGAGAGCTCCTGCTCCACACTCCTGCTGGCCTGTTCTGATCCTGCTTTTTCTCTGCTCTGTGATAAAATTCCCATATCAACATTCCCTCAGGTGACAGATGGGTGCCTGTCCCTGTGTGTGGAATAACCCAGCAGTGAACCACAGAGTGCTCCCTGCCAGCCCTGTGGGGAGCAGGGTCCCATCCTCAGGGATTGGTGCCATCCTGCTCCCATGCCATTGCCTCCTGCTGCTGCTGAGCAATTGCATCCTTGTCTGCTGGCTGTGCTTATCCAAAGGGAACAGCAGCAGGAGCTTGTCAGTTCTGCCTCCTGCCTCCCGCTGGCCATGGAAACAGCCCCAGATATTTTAGGATGGGTCTCTCCACATGGTGCTCAGATCCAAGCCAGCAATCACTTGATGTTTCCTGGCACTGGAGGTGTTGGAAGAGTTATCAACAACTCTTTATCCTGGTGGGAATTGCAGCAGCTCCTGCCCTGCAAATAATTTGTGTTCCTATCTGTGCCTTTAAGTTTGAATCCTAGGGCTTGAAGCTTGGACCTTTTCTGAGCATTCCTGTAAGGATTGGGTTGGGTTTGCCTGGCTGCTGGATTCCTGTCTGTCCCAAAGGGATGTTCTGTTTGCATTCCAAGAAAAAAAACCAAAAATTATTCAGCCACTTTTTAATGTGTTTTTCTGAGCAGCTCGGGAGGGTGGGAAGCTGCTGTTTGGCAGTGGGATGGTGTCAGGGAGCAACACCTTTTGGTGTTCCCATAAAAACTGGGGTTGGATTCACCGCCCAGGAAGCTGATCACAGGGAATGGAGCTTGTCCATGTGCAGGACCTGATCTCTGGGATCTGTCCTGCTCCTGGCACCACTCTGCATGCCCGTGGGAAGAGGTTTTTCTGGGAAAGGGCGAGGGACAGGTCTGTTTTGTCCTTGCTGTAGGTACAAGTTCTGGGGCCAGGCTCTGCCACGTGCTGGAGGCCTCTTCCCTGGTACTCTGCCAAGCTCTTCCCAATGTTCCTGTGTGCCTTAGGCACCGCTCAGAGCCCTGGGCTCTCTGCATATGACTTGGAAATGAGGGAATTTCCTCCAAACACAGGGTGCATGGACAAGAGCTCTTTTCTGGAATGCTTTATATCCAAGTACAGTGT